GAAAAACGCTGCTCCGAATCCTTTGAGGTACAAACGAAAATAAATGAGGTACAAATGAACTTCTCTATATCTAATAATAGAATCTCGAGTTTTCGATTTTATTCATTGTCCCTTGATTTTATCAATTAGTACAATGAGACAAAGTCTTGTATGAGAATATGCTTTATGTAGGTAGTTTATAATCTCAATAAACGATCAAGAATCTGTCGAGCTGCAGGAATTCTTATATCGAAATACCAGAAAATCCTGGAGGAAAATCCTAAAGAAAAATGGGCGTTATAATATCGCCGGAAATAAGGTAAGAATTTTGATTATCGATTAATTATAGAGCAAATTATTTGTGCGGTATTATATCACGTTGCGATATAATTTCATTGAAATAAATTCAAATTTTTTAAATAGATGATCAGTTTTTTTTTATTAATATAGGTGCGTAGTTTTTTGCAAGAAATTAACATTAAATATCTTTATAAATAAGATTCAGATTTAAAGCTAATTTAAAAGTAATTAAAGCTAATTCAAAATTAATAAAGATAATGTGTATTAGATAAAGATTATTTCCGTAATGCAATAAATATTTATGTCTAAAATTTAATTGGCGAAAAATACTTTATTTTTAAATGTTTATGACATAAAAAAACTTTGAATATCTTAACAGAAAGTTTAAATTGATCAAAGATTTTATGGGTGAAAGAAAGTACGGAGAACTCGACATTACCTACTATATGTATAATTCTATTGCTGAGAAGTTTCGTTATATTAAATCGCGCATGGCGCGATATATTATATCGTGCAGGCATGCATGTCAAGCTATATGTATCAGGTTTCATTACAGCGAATATTTCCGCGCGTGTTCCTTTAATGATATCCATTCTATTGAGAACTCAATTTTCAACGTAGTTGCAGTTTTTTTGCAACTGTCGAGTATTTTTACGACACATTCCTTATCTTTACCTAAATATGAAATTTAGCGCTTTGCAATTCCATTTTTTAAATAATACAGAAATCAAACTACACAGAATTAAATAATAAGAAATTTATATTTATAATGCTGTGATTTAACAATAAATCTGTAGTCGGCAGTTTTAGTCTTAATCGGTGAAGTTGATCAGCGTTAGTCGTTCAAGTTGGCTATTGTCCTATTCAACTGTTCTGGTCAACTTCACCAATAAAACTTAGGACTACCGACTCATTGAAGATTCAGCATAAAAGATAACGGGTCTTATTGCTGAGGCACAAGATTAAAAAAACTTGCATTTTTAGCAAATTTGCTGAAAAACATTATCTTTTACGACGGAAGTTTGAAATTTGATCATAAGTTCTTTCGAAGAGAAGACAAAGCAAACTTTGTGAAAAGTGTAACATTCCTTAACCTTCTATCGGTAATGTGAAATTATCACCTCTGTGAAGTTAGCACCTCATGTTTCATTTTTTGGAACATAAGATGCCAACTTCATAGAGGTAAAATCTTCATACTTCGTTCACTTAAATTTTCGAACTTTAGTGCATATTTCTACATTGTTCTGGACTATATAAAAATCTAAAAAGAAATGTTTAGAATACATACTTGTGAAAGATTTAATAATGAATTTTTACTAATATAAAAATTATTTATTTTTTTACAGATTTAAATTTGATTATTCTTTCTGAATTTGTAATAAAAAAAAACAAATGTGCCTTTAAAGTACAACATTATTGATGAAGAATTAATCGCTCGAAAATTACAAAAAATATAGACAAAAAATATTTTAGTCAACCTCGCGAAAATTTCCGTGAAAGAGGTCAAATAACGATACGATTTATACCCGTTTCTACTAATTAAATAATAGATTAACTTTAGTCTCGATTCAGTTTACTCTCTAAATTTTTTAAAGTGGAATCTTATTCTAAAAAGTGAAAATTAAGCTAGTCTTGAAATAGAGTGGCTCAATTTTCAATCTTTAAGAGTGACATTTCATTCTTCAGAGTGAGATTAACTCTAAAAGTTTTAGAGAGTACTTTTCTGGTCTTAAAAAAAATAATTAAAATATAATGAAGAATAAGTTGAACTGAGATTAAACTTAATCTACATTGGAAACAGGCATAAAGGGATTCTGAATTAAAAATCGTCAATAGTATGGGCAGAAGTCTTGCATAACACAATACAAAATGAACCAATCAAAATCCTTCATTTTCTTCCTTTCTTTCCATAAAATAAAAAACTTTGATTGGTTAATTTTCTTATGCTTTATGCGTTATGCAAAGATCTGTACTCCGATCTTATCGTTGTTTTATTGAATGCGATGTAAGCTGGATTGTTCGGATTGTTCCATCTTTCGATATAAATTCAGCTCATTCTCTTACTCTCTTATGTCTTTACTCTTTTACTCTCTTATTTATCCATTAGATAAATTGTCACTTCGGATATAATTTATCCATAAATGGAACAACTGGCCGTTTCACACTTATGATTTACGAACATCGACTATATCTTTATATGTATATAATATACATATATTATTATATTGACACATATCGTACCTACATAGATGTATAAATTTTCGCAATGCAAATTTTCGTATTGGATTAAGTAGTATCTAGCCTAATTCTAAGAATTTGATGTGTAAATTACTAATCTGGAGATACAATTTCGTAAATATAGATTGTAGCTTTTATATCAAGTAAATGCATATTGCCACTTGACAACTTTATATATTAGACATATTAGACTAAGAAATCATAAAAAAGATTTCAATTTAAACATTTTTTTTCGTTCTTGGCATAAGTTATCTTATACAGTCACGTATCAATGCGTATACCTGCTTTAATTCTGGAAAAGAATTTTCACAAATCTATAAAATATATAACGATGTTATAAAAATTATATATGTTTAGTTGATAAAACAGACGACATTAGGGATGTTGCAATATATGCATGTATATTTGAATAAAATACGCAAACACGTCCGAATTGATCCTCGCCGTAATAATTCTATCGCCAGACAATGTAAATTCTCAGATGAGGGTTGACGATATTGGCTACAATTGGATCAATGACGGTGAATCACGATCAATTAGCGGTCGCTCGTAGGGTGTGGAGACAAGAGGCGGTAAATAAAAAATATCCGTTGCGGATTTGCGTTGCACACGCTATTATTCTTATGTCCGATCCGGCGACAGGTATCCGCTTTCACCATCGAGCGAAAGGGAACGTTTCAAATTATCTCCTACTCGTACTCGATTTCGCTTAATGTCTATTTCTACCAATTATTAGAATTAGAAAAAAGTGAAGAATAAGTTTAACCGAGATTAAAGTTAATCACCATTAGCGAAATACAAAAGAGCAAGAAATTTACTGTAACTCTGTGTTTACTCTGAAAAATCAGAGTAATGCCTGTTACAGAATACATTCACTTCTTTATCAGCCGGAGCAGCATCGTAACATATGTTGCGTCGTTGAAGGTGACTACGCGGCGATATAAAGAAATGCAAAACTCGGGGAAAAACTCAAGTGACAATGATCATAATGATACATCCGCATCGAGGAAATTTGTTTCACGGTCGACCGCTGTAATTGAGTAATTCGTTGAGATTACGCCTTTCTAAACTGCGTTTCTAACTGTGTATTGTGGACAAAGAGAATATTCAGTTGAAGTCATAAGGCCGTAATACAGACTTTTGCATAACGCATAACTCACAACTGCATAAGCGAATCAACTAATCAGAATCTTTCCTTTTCTCCCATTCCGTAAAAAAGGAGAATTTCAATTGGTTGATTCCCTTATTCACTTATGCATTATGCGTTATGCAAGAGTCTATGCTGCAGCCATTTGAATAATGGAAGATGCTCTAGGTACATACAAATCATAATTTAAAGATACAGAGGATTTTCATTGGTTTAGTTGCATTAAGAGTCGTCAAATGTAGACACAAAAATCTCAGATGAAACTAACCAACATTTGTGATTTCTAATAAATTTGTACTTACTTAAAATAATTTGTTTAATTTTACTAATTCCAATTGATATAAGATCGGTTTGTTTTTGGAGTTAATCTTTTCCTTTTTCTTTTCAATATGAAAAAAAAAAGAAGAAAAAAAACCATGCAAGTTTAAATAAAAGAATAGACTATTGTCTGAGTAAACTTTCAGATATTAGGAAGTTTGAAGCCAGCCTTGCACTAAGAGAATTCAAAAAGAAGAAGAGGAAAAGGAGATACCTTTCACCGGCATCTCTTTGATATCCATCATACATCAGGATTTAAATGATTTAAAAACTATTTCAAAGCTTTATATGCCAGAGTGGAGGTTGAAATCGTTTCGCATAGCATTTCCATTCTGCTAATAGAAGGACAGAGACACTGGCTGCGTTCAGCAGAGAAAACAGCTTGCAACTGTTGTAAAATTCTTCAATACAATTGGTTCTTGCTTTTGATTCCTTATGGATCTAAATGTAAAAAAATAAACCAATCATAATGAAGAATTTTATAACAATTGTAAAGTTGTTTTCTCTGTTGAACACAGCCACTGTGTTAAAAATGCCTCAGTCAGGGGAGATAAGAATATAACCGAGTGGAAATAACTGGTGTGGTTCATTACATACCCTGCAAATCGATTAGCAATGAAATTATCGCTCGACGAATTAAAAAAAAGTATTTTTTGATAGTTTTCGATGAAACAAATCGTCTTTTGTGATCACTCCTGACAAACATTTGTATCCATTTATTTAACTTACTTAATATCCATTTATTTATTTGACTTATTCAGTTTTTCGTTTTTTTTTTTTGCATTGTTCATTTTTTTTTTAATGAACTGAGATGAAGGGCATGTGAGAAATTCGTTCGAGAATATGCGAATATGATCTCGCGCAGTAAGAATTACGAAAAATCGCATTTATTATTATGAATCGCGAAGAGAATTAAGTTGGCAAACTGTTTCCTTTACTTTGAACGGAAGAAAATGTAGAATAAAATTAGTTATTCAACTATACATCTGGATACATCTAAATTTTAGGAGTCACTTACCTTTGCAAAGGTTATACAATGTTGTGCGATAGCGAACAGACGAATTAGATCGAGTTATGATGGCGGAATGAGACAGATTCTTGGGAATGCGATTTTTTCTCTTCGTTCGTCGTCTCGCAATCAAACAATCACTTGCGAGTCCATTAACGAACTCGAGTGAACAGTACGACTTTCACACCGTAACGAATTTTGCCATCGTCTGCCAGTCGCCTACTATCATCACGAAGTTATATGCGAACCAAGAGTCGCTTTCAATTCACGAATAACTGCCATACCTTTGATTATTCAAGTCTACATTCGGAATCGTTATTCGAGTGCCCCCGTGTATCAGAGATATATACTGAGGCGCGATTCTGTAACTGTTTTACACGCTTACCGACAGTTGTTGATGTCGTTGCGCAACTTTTTCACCATATGAAATATTTGCGCAACGACACCGATATGGATTCACACTGGATCCGACGTGTATCATACGAAATCAATCAGAAAACAATATCATCAATACGAAATAAAATTCTACTTTCTGATTGGTTGCAGAACGTCGTACGATGCATGTCGAATCCAGTGTGAATCCAGCAATAGAACTTATAATAATGGAATAATCTATCCAGGCAGTGAATGGAAGGTGTGAACAACATGTGAGAGACAGAAGATGTATTTCTGTCCTGCTCAGTAACTTTTCTTCTTTCTGCGCATGTCCCAGAAGAGGATAGAAAAAGATTTCTGTCCTTTAAATCTTGTTTAAGCCCATGGCACATACAAGACATAAGGCCGTAACACGTAAGCAATAAGCAAATTGGCCAACCACAGTAGAGATAGTAATATCAGTAGCGAATCCAATGTTATGATTTTTTTATGTGTCGTCTGCAATGGGCAGTAGCAGAAATGGATTAAGGAGTAGGCATAGAAATCAACAAATCATAGTCTAATGTGAAAAAGATAATTAACTATCATTGGTCTATTTCTACGCCTACTTCTTAATCCACTACAGCTACTGCTCATTGTAGACCATGCATTATTGATTACGTCTTACGGCTTTACGTTTTTCTATGTGCTTTCGGCTTTATGTCCGTATTCTTCTTCCATCACTATAAGTTCTATAATCAGAGAGAATCAAGGGAGAGTAAAGCGGATAGTGGTTTTCATCTCTGATTGGTTCCGTCATTTATAGTGCACTTTCGCAAATGTGTATGTATGTACGTATATGATAGACACACAATACTAATGTGTGCAGCACTGTACGAGGTCTGGCTATTAAATAACGAGACTGCTTATAAAAAAGAGTTTTATTTTAAAAATTATTCTACAATTGAATGCTCCCCTTCAATGTACTCCCCTCCCCTCGCCACATACCGTTCCATTCATTTTTTCCATTGGTCAAAGCAATGCTGGAAGTCTTCTTTTGTAAGAGCATTTAGGAGCTCCGCCGATTTTTGCTTTACCTTTTCCATCGACTCGAACCGGGTTCCTTTTAAGGCAGACTTGATCTTCGGAAACAGGAAAAAGTCATAGGGTGCTAAATCAGGCGAGTACGGCGCGTGTTCGAGCACTGGAATGACTCTAGCGGCTAAATAACGCTTCATAGACAGCGCGTTATGGGCAGGTGCGTTGTCCTGGTGCAAGATCCACGACTTGTTTTTCCACAACTCCGGCCGTTTCTTACGAACTCGCTCTCGCAGTGTTGCCAAAACTGTCAAATAGTAAGTTTGGTTTTCAGTTTGACCCTCTGGAACCCATTCAGTCATTTCATTGATTTTGGTCACTGTTTGCGGAGTTGAAACAGAGACAGGTCGACCTGGACGTTGGTCATCTTCGGTGCTCTCTCGGCCTTCAGAAAACCGTTTATATCATTCGAAAACACGCGCATGAGATAGAGAATTCTCACCATAGGCCTCTTTCAGCAACTTATAGCATTCAGTCGGAGTTTTTTTTAATTTAACGAGAAATTTCACATTGATCCGTTGCTCGTGTTTTTCGTCACACATTGTTATCGGCACGAGAAAAAAACAAGTTCGTTTCTAACCTCTATAGAAAAAATACTACTACTGCGACAAAAACGTGTTTTCGTACTGGAATAGTAGACACTTCCAGCTATCCAACGCTGCATTCGTTTCCCACCCTATCCCTCTAGGACGCCTTCTGCGCGCGCAGTCTCGTTATTTAATAGCCAGACCTCGTATGTTCCATCACACTCTTACCATATCTCTTATTGATTACATGACATTTTCTCGAAAAACTAGACTGAAAAATGATGGTACTAACAAAAATCCCTAGGCAACACGATTTTAATTTGTACAGATTAGTAAACTATTAAAGTAGTAAGTCCATAAATTCGTCCATAAGGGCTGCCACAGATAAAATTTTTGTAACATTAACCTTAAGACGTGAACTTAAACCGATGAGCTAATTAGAATACTGCTTTAGATTTACGTACTCTAATGAAAATAGAAATAGCAGTCAACTTATTTATTTATTTATAAGGCGAGTTTCAACTGATTGAAATTCATCTTAGAGTGCCGTCCCATGAAGCGGAAATTTACAGCGGAACGGAACAACGCGACCAATCACAACTCTGCAGTCATTGTTTTGCTTTCTTTTCTGCGATTGTGATTAATCTTGCTGTTCCGTTTTGTTGACTCATAGAGCGACAATTGACAAGGAAATGGAACTCGCGGAATCAACGACGAATCACAGTCTTTCCGCTATTTTTTGTTATAATTTCACTATTACAATTTGCAGAATAAACAAAAGCACATAACCTCAATATTATATCGATGTATATTATAATTGTCATATAATGCGATTGATTACATATTATTTTTTGTCTTCGTCATTAATATGGACACTGTAGTAGAATGTTAATAATTCGATAATTACAATACATATGAAAATAGATATTAATTAGCGGCATACAATTACATTTATTTTTTTTCTCTTATATCCCATTAAGCGGTAAACGCGGAAGCGGAATTAAGTTTCAGCCAATCATTAGATTGTTTTACAATTATGTTTTAAAAATATTTTACTACTAAAGAAGTTGTAATGTTTACCAGTTTGTTATATACACTTATATTTACATTAATTTTTACATAAAATTACATTATATTTACATTAAAATATTATTTTTATTATTACAAGTATTGCAAATAACATAAAAAGTATGATTTTATATTATCCTGCGCGTTTGCTTCTGCTTATTCAATAAGATATAAAGGATTTAGAAAAAGCGTAATGGCTCCTGCATCAATGCGATATTTGTTGCGGGTGATACGCAATATTCAATGAGAATATACCTTTAGAATGAAAACATCGGTAAAGTTGTATACTCATTGGATATCGCGTGTCGCGTGCAACGAACATTGCGCTGGTATGCCGGAGACATAAAAAAGAAAACGGAGTGTGATTCGTCGTGTAGATTCCGCGAGTTCCGTTGCCAATTTCTGTTTTATAAGACGGCATCGGGCACCCTTAGGGTGCCGAAATCGAAAAGACAGAATGGATTTCTTACTAGAAATTAGATCATTAGCATTTTGATACGTAAAAAATTTTTTTATTGTATCGGAATCATCAGAATCATAGCCGCAACGGTATAGAAATGATACGGAATTAACGGAATGTCATGTTGATTGAAGACTATGTCGATCCAGCTATTGTAGAATTTGACAATTTCGAAGAAGAAAATTAATAATAATCCTTATTTTTTTAATACAATATACTCTTGCTTTATATATACGTAATCCAACTAATGCCAACAGTTCTTCAAATAATTCCTATGTCATTCTGAAGTAATTAAAGAACTTCTCACGATTGGTCGTTCGCATTCCAATAACTAAATTGTTACTTGCGCTTTGGAGACGCCTCATTCTTTGTGTAAACATTGGCTGTATTCAGAATTTTCGTTTTTTTGTATATTTCTGCTGTTGTAATAAAACGTTATAAGCAAAATAAAATTTTTGTACACTCTTAAATACCGGAATAGCACGCCAACACATTTCTTTTCACAATAATTTTAACATTAGTAATGGCACTACTTCTTCCTCCATTGTTGTAAATTTACAAAAAAAGTTTCTGAATATTTGTTTCAATTTTTAGATTCAATTTAGCTGAACATGTCATTTTGTTTCGTAAAAATTTTCTCTACGTCCCATTGTACGTCTCATTTTCTCGTACCATGTAGCCGGAACGCAATAGAATTTTGGTAACAAAATATATCTTACTTTTATAATTTAGTATTTTTGAGTATTCAAAGTAATGTTATAGATAAGATAATTGCATAAATTATGCATATTATTGCTTTAGTTGCATTAAAATAACGAAACATGAATTAAATTAAGCAAATTGACTTGTCACCGAGGCGATATTTCATCTGTTCCTGCTACATGGAAAGAAAAATTTACGGAACGGAATTGTAGTGAACTCAATTTTCTAGTAAGAAATTCGTTCCGTTGTTCCGATTCCGAGTACATGGGACGACACTCTTATGACTGCTGCACACAGAACGCGGCAACGCTTGCCGCACAGTGGAAGTTGTCGCACTAACCAATAATTCTATAGAACACACAAAAACGTAAGGCCGTAAGCAGTAAGCAAATTGGCCAATCATAGTAGAGACAGTAATGCTAGTAGCGAATCCAATGTTACGATTTATTTACTAATTACGTTTACAGCCTTACGTTTTTTTATATGTTCCCGATTTATATTCTTAATGGTACACCAGCGCGATGTTAGTCGCGCGCGACACGCGATATCCAATGAGTGTATAGCTTTACCGATATTCTTATTTTATACTGTCATGAACATCGCGCTGGTATGCCGGAGGCATAAAGGTGTCTACTGATAGACACGGCAAATGCCGCGCGCGGCAGCGCGGCACTTAAAAAAACTATAGATTCTAGGAGCTTCTAATTCTGATGCCGTTTGCCGCATAGACGCGGCGTTTATCGCGTTGACGCGACATTTATTGTAATAAAATGAAGTATAGTATTATTTTGATTATTATTGCTTAGTCTTGTTATTATTTTTTTAAATAAAATATTAATTTTTTCAAATTTTTTAAATATGTTGTTTTAAATATATCACTGTAGAAAACACTATCTCTCACATATACTAGGTGTACAAGTATGAAATGCGGATTTGAGAAAACAGATGGCGCATTAATGCAGTGTGTGGTATAAAGATTTGACTGTTATGCCATTTTGAAGTGCC